TATTTTCCTTCACACAGATATGATCAGGAAGAATTTGAAGGCCCTGGAAGAGGAAGAGGGTGTTGCTTCCATAGGTGCATTTCACCCGGGCCTGGAGGTCCGAGGCTGAGGCCCACAGAGGCTGGACACGAAGTGCAGTGACAGCAGGACATTGCAGGGGAAACTGATGTCCTGATGGCTGTGGTGCGTGCCTGAGTGGATGATTAAAAATGGCAGTTTTGCAGACACATTGAAATTGTACTTGTACATGGTAGACTTGTGCACTATGGAAGTAGTGACTTGCACACACATTAGTGCAACTGTCATCGCAGTGAAGGCAGTGAACATAACCACAGCCCCCAGACTTCACTTCTGTCTTTTGGCCATCAGCAGGTACTGATCTTTTTCTCAGCATAGTTTTGTATTTTCCACAACTTTTATTCCTGTGAAATGACACAGCCTGTGATTTATTCTCTTTTGTTCAGTCCAGTTTCTTTCACCCTACATTTAAAAACTCAATTGTATTACAGTAATAAAAATGGGGATGACCACCACCCTATGAATTAGGTCCTTGTGTTTTTAATTAATTTTTTAATTTGTTCTTGAGACTGAGCCTCTCTGTGTGGTTCAGGCTGGCCTTGAATTCACTATGTAGCCCAGGCTGTCCTTCAATTCACAGTGGTCCTCCTGCCTTTCCCTACCGAGTTCTGGGGTTACAGGCAGGTGCCACCATACCCCGCTTGAACTAGATTCTTATGTACTTTCTCAATTCATTTCCTCTATGATATTCAGCCAAATTTATATTAAAATGGTCTTTAAAGGAATCCTACAGAGACTGATTTGTTTCTGATGAATACAATCATTTTATTTATGGAGCTAATTCTTACAATGCATTGCTCAACTATCAAAAAGGTGGTTATAATAAAATGATACTCCATAACTTTCATTTAATTTATTTAAAAGAATAGTTTCTTCCCTTTTTTCCAAGTCATTTACCCCTTCAAACATGGAAAATGTGGATTCCAGCCTTAATGGTCTGGAATTGACAATTTTAAAATATGTTTTCCTAGTGAGGTTTTCTCCTAACTGGCTTTGAAAATTCTCCCAGTCTTAAATCAATATATTGGCTTCATGTTCACAAAAAACAATAATATTAGGAGAAATGAATGAAGCTTTTCCATAAAGTATCTTATTCGATAGGAAGATAAGGGAAAACTATGTTCATTTTTTTCAAATAAGTTGATGAATTACTAAGCTTATATGTCCAGTGAAACTATTGGTCAAGAACCAATAAAGATTTCAGAAAGTGATATATTTTTTAAAAGAAAATATCCATTTTATAGACTTTTAGGAGGAGGAGCTAGGGTGGTATTAACATTTTTGTTTCAACAAAAGAAAAGTAAATTTAACATATTTCACCCTAAAATTGTTGTAGTTTCTGCAGTGTAAGAAAAGTTAGTGTCATGTGGAAATAGAAGTTTCAAAGACAATATAAACCACCCACCAAAAAATAGGAAAAGGGAAAGAGATTTCTAATGTGCCAAATGGTATTCTATCAGTTACTGTATTTGTTTCTTATGTTTCATCAACATGACCCTATGCTAGATGCTGAGGGTGTGAAAGCAATCTTTAAGATCCCACTTCTCTCTTCAAGGGTATTACCAGTAATCGGGAAGTGTATCTTTGACCAGTGACTAAGTGATCTGGTGAAGAACGTGTCTGTAGAGCTACGGAGAAGTAAAATTTCCTCTATGACTAGGGGATAGAGCTGGCAGGAGAGTGAGCAGGAGAACATCAGAGAGGAAGGTAGAGAGCCAATCCTGAGATGAGTGAGTCACAAGGAGAAGGGGTGGTTCCAGGGGGCAAGTCCTGAATGAGGCCAAGATAGTCTTTGTGAGAAATAGGCTCCCAAGGGAGTGAGGGGATGGTGAGGAAACAGGACATGTCCACCTGGACGAGGCTGGAGTATGCAGCAGAGGGGCTACCTGGGCGAGCCTGGCCTTCAGCGCAGAACTCCGGGAACTTATGCCTGTTCTAGACCGGATAATCCCATAATTTGGCTCACTGTCACTCTGACTGGAAGTGTTGTGAATGTTCTGTGCTAATAATCGCAAATGAAGGAGAGATGTTGACAGAACTGAAGAGTTTGATTGCGCCAGAAGCAACTGACCCCCAAGCCCCTGTGAAGGGCTGACAGGAAAACATTCACCTTCTCATTCATCGAGGATCTTTTCAGGAACCAGTAGCTATTGGATGCTGACCTTGTTTTGTAGGCCAATAGAGGTCGAGCAAAGTACAATTTAGAATGCAATCAATATTGAAGGCTAATGGTGACCTTTGGGAAATAGTATTCTGCAAGGTCATTTCATATGTATTATTTGTACATAATGCATACTTGTGTTCTTTTTTTTAACCAGTTGCAAACTAAAATCTTCCAACTAAAGTCACTATACTTTTTAAACAAATTAAATAATTCAACTTGAACTCTTCCTTTTGATAGTTCCCATTGCTACCACCCTACAGGAATCCTTTAATCTTCTGGTTGGTCAATGTGAAAGCACCAAACACCTCTGCCTGGACCACTGGGTGGGAGACTTTCCACCCAGTCTGTGCTGTGCTGCACAGTCATGCTCAGTGTGATAAAGGGTGACTGATAACAAGAGAGAAGGCATCTGACCCCATGACAAGAAATCCTCATCCTGACTGGACAGATTCAGTGTCCTCAAGGCTTTACTTTGCAGCAGTTTATTGGTCACCATTAAGAAATCATCCAACAACAGTGGACAAAACACCAAAAATGTGCTCTGTTATAATAATTAGTTGCTAGAAAGTGGTATTTTAGAAACTCATCCACACCATGTTTTCTTGAAGGAATAAGGATTTCACACTTTCTTCCCTGTCAATTGTCCCATGACATTTCTATTTTGCTGATGTCTCAATACATAAATTTACTTCATAACATTATTTTTTCTTACTTCTGTGCAAGCCAACCGAGGGATAGGTAGTTAACAAATTATTCGCGTCGTCAAGAGGTTATGTACATCAGTTTCATTTGTACCAACACATAAGCAGTTTTCCTATAAAAGAGCCCATTCTTGGACCATTTTGTCTTTTGTTTTAATCAATTAATTAATTTAACTCCATTGAGATCGTTAATTATGATTGGCAATTTAATTGCATAAATGAATGTTGGGCAGAGGTGATTGGATTGTGAGCTTAACCCATCGATGAGTTCATAACTGAATGGATTATTGGAGGAAAGAGGTTCTCGGAGTGTGACTCAGAAGGATTCATCTTTTATCAGGCTCTTTCTCTCTCTGGTTTGCAGCTGCCATGAGGTGAGCATCTTTGTGCTGCCAATACACTTCCCACTTGATTCTGTCTCACCTCAGGGCCATGGAAATGGAACCAGACAACCATAGCCATGCTCCATGTGCCATGTAGATCCTCCCTCTTTTGCATTGTGTATGTCAAGCATTTTAGCCCAGCCACAAAAAGCAATGAACAGCTATACAAATTTTAGCAACCAAAGCACAGTGAGGGGCTGCACAATAACATTCTGGCCAATGGCAGACTGTAGAAACTGGCAATCTCAAAAGATTATGACGGCGCTAAAATATCCCTATCACCCTGTGATGCAGTAGGTGTTATAAGACTGGAGCACAATACATTACTTGTGTATTTTTGGTAGCACTGATGTAAATGCCCCTATAGCACCATCAGTCATGTGAAAGTGTAGCGCATAGAATTATGTACAGTTTATAATGCTAGATAATGACTATAAGTGGCTGTGTTAGTGTTTATGTTTTTACTAGACAATATATTGCATCATTATTTTGAGGTGTGCTCCTTCTAGTTATTTTTTAAAGGTTTATTAGAGCACAAAATGCTGTATGAGGCCAGTGGCAGGCTTATGAGGGTCCTTTTTACTGTCTTCTGATTGAATCAGTAAGATACGTTTCATTATTAGCCCATGTCATCTACAAATGTGTAGCACAATCTATGAGGGGGACTCCGTGATGCAGTTGCCTAAGAGTGTATTTCTCAGGATGCACCACTTTAAGAAACACATGACTGATTCTTCTATAAAGTTCAGAGAAACCATTGCTCTTTAAAGATGAAAGAGAAATAGTATATATGATATTCTTAAATGTGAACACTAAAGAAATCATTTAGTTTTATTTTAGGGAGATATTTGCCAGATGTGATGTGCATATCTGTGCAAATCTGTTGATGTCAGACGGTTGTCATTATTTTGCGCATGAAATGGAGAAGATTTGGGGAGGTTTCTAATGTTTTGTTAGGTTTTGCTTTATTTCCACCTGAAGTCCTGGCTTGTTTTAGTTACTAAGCAGCATAGCATTGCTTCTGTTGCTGTCCATGTTTACAGTGTGCCTTAACATCCATTTGTTCTCTGAATTCTTTTGTTTTATTTTGTTGGGAGCATTGTTTCCCTCCATGGGAGAGTTTTCCTTACATTTGTTCAGTGACTCATCCTGGCACATACACCACACACTGCTGGTGCGTGGAAGCTTGTGGTTTAGATCTGGAGCAACTTGGAAAAGTCTCATGCATTCAGAGGTGGGACTTTTGGAAGATGAATGGATCATGGAGGTGTCACACACATCAGTGGGTTGATCCATTGGTGAGTTCATAGTTAATTGTGCTCTTAGGAGTTGAGGCCTCTTTTGGACAAGTGAGTCCCTGGGGATATGACTTTCAGGGTATTTCTCCTTCCCCAGCTCCTGCATTCTCTCTCTACTTCCTGGCTACCACGAAATGAGCAGATTCTCTCCATCATAATAGTTCTGCCTGGAATACAGCCAAGCACAGACTAAATTCCCTAACTGTGAGCCAAATTAATCTCTCATATTTTACGTTGTGAGTGTCTGGTACTATGTTCTAGCAATGGGAAACTGAGTAACACAGTCCTCTTATGTGGTCACATGCTAAATGTCACAGTGGGTGGCAAAGCTGTACAAGAAGAAGGCGGAAGGTCTGTCACAAATGATGGAGGGAGGCAGCCAGTGCTGAAGCCATGGATGAAAATCACTCTGAGAAGCTTTTCAGAGCTTGGCTGGGGACACAGAAAGGTAAACAAAAAAAGACCTTCCCAGTGGAGGTGGGGCTGGTAGGTTATGGTGTTGGGAGAAAAGGAAGATTAGCAAAAGGTTGCTTATCAGCAGATGTAACGCCTTAGCTGAGAGTCCAGTTGGAAGAAACTTGGTTCATACACAAAACAGAGACTATGGAAAATGTAGACTTCCGATGGAGTTGTACTTGTCTGGGAAATCTTTCGGCTTGCAATAGTTGAGGTATACAAGTACCCAGGGAAGAGGAAGGAGAATGTGGGAGAGCTCAGCAATCTAGAAATATGAAAGCCACATATCTTCACATACCCTAAGCTCAGAGCAAGAGGCTTCTCCTCATCGGCAAACTCATGGCTTCTCCTACCTGGACTGCCTCCACAACTGCTGCAGCATTCCTGAGAAAGGGGTAGGGATGAGGAGGGATGTGTGAGAAGCAGAGAGGGGATGCTGAACTCAGACAGCACGGCACGGGGCGCAGAGTGTAGGCAATAGCACCTGACACGGTGCCTGCACTGTGGTCAGTTTTACTTCTAAAGTGTCCACGGAGAGAACCTGACGGGGAAGGCAGATGACATCATATGACCACCTTCTTCAGAGAGCTTTTCCCGGGGCTCTGTCCTCCTTGGTCTTCCGTGAACGTACCATGCCAGCCCTGGGTCTAAGCTTCAGTCTCTTCTTCCATTTGAGCCTTTTGAAGTCGGGGCTCTTTGTTCATCTTGGAATGAACAGCACAGTGCTGCACTGGAGTCACTCAGAAAGTGCTCGAAGGCATTGAGGACAATGGGTTCAGGAAGCATTAGAGGAGGTGACTTTCCCAGTGGGATGCAGCACTCACCATGTAGAGGTCGCGAGGGGGACAGGAAAGAAGCAGCACGAGCAGAACACGCGAGTGAGATGCCTTTGTGAGAAGCACCTTGGCCGTGAGAAAGCGGAGAGGAGCAGGCGGATGAGCCCACGTGGCTGCTGAAGTAACGTCTGTGCACACAAAGGTGAAGGAAGTGTCACTATGCCACACGAGACAAAAGGAGAGAGAGGGCATACTGGAGAGTCAAAAGAGACGAAGGAAGGTGAGGTTCCTGTGGGGATGGAGGAAAAGAGGCAGAGCCCGGGCTGCCTCCACTCCAAGCCCAGAACCAGCTTCTCTCACATCTGCAGGTCCGCAGGTCCTTGGGTTTGATCACTGTGGGCTCTGTGGCAGACCTCTGATGGAAGAACCCTGGCAGTACAGAAACTGTTACCTGCATGACTCTACGGACATCTTCTACCTAGAGCCACCACCACAGCTTCTCTCTCCTGCCTCCATAATCCTTTCAGAGGAACGCTTTGCCCTCAGCTTTGCAGAGTATCCACACTTATGTGAAGTTGGGATATCTGAGTCTTGCTCTGTTTTTTTTCTATCCACTGTAGTTATGAATAGGGCTTTATAATATGAATTCATAAATTCTATGATTCAATTTAAAAAGTATTTTTCCTTCATAGGCATTAAATATGCTGGCAAGAAATGAGCAGAAATTTTTAAAAAATCACATCATAAACTCTAAGCTTTCTAAAGTGGTTAAATTTCAACCAGAGTTATATATCAAGCTATTTAAAAACATTTGTTTTATATACCAACCTTTTTTTTTTTCCTTTTATGTTGCCCTGATTTTCCTGCAAAATATGACCGAAAGGATCATCAAACTCTCAAAAGCATCATTAAATAAAACATAAAAGACAGAGTTTATCAGATTTAGTACTGAACAATATATATCTATATCATGATATAGATATATATTCACAGTCCCAAAACAATCTTGCATATATCATGATTACCATGCCACACTGTGTGGGAGCCCTTCCATACCACTGCATAAATCACTGATTTTGTGTGATATCACTAATAGGACTATTGAGAACCATTAAATTTGACTGAAGAACATACCACTTTTTGGGTTGAAAAGGAAACAATAAAAGGGGCAGACTTTAATTACCGCTCTGATTATCTTGGCTCACAGCTTGACAGATAAGGGGGTGGCTAATCATTTGTCCAAATGCTGTTGCAAAGAAATGGCAGGGCTCATGCGTCATCACGAGCATGAAAAAGATGAAAGTAAGAATGATTGCAAAAGGGTTATCCTTCACCCAAGCCCCAGATTTGTGCCTGAGGGGCTACTAAGTGTTTGTACTTCAAACCGAAGAAGATAAACAGAGCAGGCATAGCATGAACATGCAAATAAGAGCCTGACTCATGGACAGTACTGCATTTCAGACATGCTCCCTTCACGGCCATTGGATGGGCACGTGTCCACTGGAGGACAGAGCCTCCACACCTAGGAGATAGTGAGTACTGAGTAACTACTTGTAGAGTACTGTCTTCTTCCCCCATTCCACTGACGAAAGAAAAAGCAAATTAATCATTCACAAAAATGAACTGTATATCTTTGGCTTTTAGCTGCCTTGATTTTAGAACCTGTATGTATATTTGTGTGCTTCTAAATTTAAAATGTATTAAGTAAGAAGCTGGGCATGGTAGCTCATGCCTGTCATCCTCAGAATCTGGGAGCCTAAAGCAGGAAGATTGCAAGTTTTAGCCCACACTCGACAATTCAGCAATTTAGGATCATACTCTATCTTGATGATGATGATAATGATAAATGAGCTGTAGTTGTAGCCATTGGGAAGGCCCTGGGCTCAATCCCCAGGGTTGCTAAATAAATAAACAAACAAACAAACAAATAAATAGTTTTCAGTACATCATAAGATCATTGGACAATCTGAAATTATTTAATGGTTCTAAGTGTCAGGCTCCAGCAGGAACTGCAGATCCCTCATTCGGAACTGACCAAGGTCGAAACCTTTCCCATGAGATAGTGTTACCATGTGATGGATCCAAAAGATAGACTCTGAGCTCTTATGTATGGGATGCAGAGAACTGCAAAGTGTGCACCCAATAGTGAGGGAAAAGCACCTACATTTCTTCGAGATCACAGAGCAGAGTAATGGTGGCAGAATGATAGTAAAGGAACAAAGAACACTGTGTGCCACCCAGACAACTCAAACTTTCTGGCTGAAGAATGAGAGGAGAAAAAAAGGGACGCATGTGCTTTGGTCTGCGGGTTATATTAAATGCTCCTAGGGTTCTACCCAAGCTCAAGTGGGTGGAGAGAGACGACGGAGCAATGGCCCTGGAGTGCCTTCCAGGCTTGAGTATGTGGAGTGGAGTGATTCTAATGTTCTACCTGTCCTTGTATCACCAGGTAAAATAGAACATCGTAGCCCATCCCATTCAGGCAATGATTTAAGGTTTAAAGTGCAGTCAATCCAGCTGGGGTGCTTAGCAACAGATCGTCCACTACCACCAGTACGTTGCCAGGTTATTTGGCTCTGCATATTTGGAGTTTGGCCCAGGAATTAGCATTGCTCAGAAAAGCTGTAAATGAATGTGAAAAAATTTGGTAACTTGGCCAGCAGTCCTCAAATAGGTCTATCTGCATATTCAAATTTCCTCAAGAACTTCATGCAAATCTCATTGCTTAATTCCCACACCCAAAGATGCTAGCTGAGCTGCTAGGATGGAATATTCTCCGAAGACACTCAGCTAATTTCCAGATGTGGGGCTGAGATTAGGGACCTTCGCCAGATGACCTTTCTTTCTTTCTGTTTTGGGGGGATACTGGGAAGGGGGGTCGAACTTGGGTCCTTGTGCTTGTGAGGCAGGCAGCAGAACCACTGAGCTCAATGCCCAGCCCCAGATGACCTTTCTTCTGGATGTGACCTTACAGCTTAAATCACCATTCTCATTGCAGTCTCTGCACAAATCGCCATCGCAACACAAAAGCAACTTTTTATTCTACTTTTGCCTTTTACATTCCAGGTACTTGTGTATTTTACATTAGAGATACTTCTGTTGAGTCGACCTAACCACACACAGACTCTGGAGAGAAAGAAAGAAGTATGCATTTTAAGTACACACACCAACTGATTGCTACACATATTATTCCAAGTGCCATTTCTTCCCGATTCTTGTTTTAACTGTCCTTGTAGTTTTACCTCAGTGTGATCTTTTAAAATTTTGAGTCTGGGGTTGGACTGCCTTGCTTGTCTCTCTCTGTGGTGCCCCATTATCCTGGGGTAGATTGCTTTGTCCTATCTCTAGATATTACAGTTATGTGGATTACAAGCAAATGTCTAGGAGTTTTATCCCAGGCATTCTGTGTGCAGAACCACATATGTGCTCTCAGCAATTAGCTCTTACCAGCTGTCTCTCTCCCGCTGAAATCCTTTCTTGCTGCATCCCCTGCTTGCCCTAGGACCCTCACTTAGAAGTCAGTGCTCAGCCACATCTAATAATCTGCTTTTTCCTTAGGTACCAGGTTATCCATTTAGGAGCAGGAACACAGAACAAGGTGGCCTGGATGGATGAAGTAGAGCACTGGTAAAAAGCAGGACAGAAGCAGAACTTCGTGTGTGTGTGTGTGTGTGTGTGTGTGTGTGTGTGTGTGAGAGAGAGAGAGAGAGAGAGAGAGAGAGAGAGAGAGAGAGAGAGAGGGAGAAAGAGAGAGCCAGCATGGGGAGCACACTAGCATGGGTTGTGACAGTGAGGAACACTTATTGATGAAAGCAGAAAGCCTGTCTTGAGAGATTTATCTCCAACAGTCCTCCTCAAGGTAATTATAGATCCCAGAAGACACACACACATTCTCTCTCTCTCTCTCTCTCTCTCTCTCTCTCTATCTCTCTCTCTCTCTCTCTCTCTCTCTCATCAGACTTAGATCTTTCCATATCTGGAGCTGTTTGAAGTCCTAGGTAAATACTTTCTCACTGGCCTGGCATTGTAACTCTACTCCTTTTGACCACACATAACAGTGTATCACCAGGGCCCAGTGGTCATGGATGGGGCACGCTTCTCATTTTCAGGGTGTCCCTATGATTAAAAATGGAAAAGGAAAATAATGTAGAGTCACACAACGATAGACAGTAGTTAAAATTAATCCGGAGCTATCAGATTGATAACATTCTTCTACAGGTCTTTGGAAAGAAGCCCTGTTGCTCCTACCCCATGGGATTCCTGTCTCGATGAGATGTACACATTGTGGAAAGATAGATCCTTACGAAGGAGATGAGATGAAAAGACTGGATTTGATCTTGGGCTAACCGTGCTCAAGTATACACACGAGCTTTACTCAGTTCAGACGGATACTGGGGCTCCGTATGTCAAGGTTCGAGCAGGATCTGGGGTGCTGTGCTCTCTCCAGGGACCCTGCTCAGGCTCCTGTTGTCTTGAACAAAGAATGGAATGCGAAGTGAGACAGAGGGGTTTTATATTTATTAAAGGTATTAAAGGCAAGAAAAGAAGGGAAGCGATACATACTCTATAGAGTGAGTGTGGGTCAATTACAGTAGGAGAAGAAATATGTTCTGTACAGCGCAGAGGGGGCCCTTGAGAAAGAAGGAAGGCGGAGGTCACAGCACCAATGGCCATCATTTTTATTTCCCTCTTTCTGACTTCAGGTCTAGGCCATTCTATCAAATACCTGCTTGATCTTGAGCAGAAGAATTGGAGAGAGCATTCTCTGATTGGAATCAGTGCAGGGCTTGGAGACTCTTCTGCACCTGTGTCCTTATCTTGGCTTCATCCGAGACTGGTTACCACCACTTGGCAGTCACTCGCCTCACCCTAATCTCCCTCCTCAGAGCGACCCCGGAGAGGGTGGGTGGGCCTGGCAAGTTGAGGTTACGCTGTGCTGCTGCCTCCAGGGTCCTCTCACCATACTTCTCATTATCCTTGCATTGTCGAGCTTGACATTAATATATCATATGGCAGCCTCGTTATTAAAGAGAACTGGCTCACGTCCCTTTTCATATTCTAAAATGTCACTTCTAAATAGAAAAACTACATTTTCTCCCTGTTAAACGAAGCTACTAGACTAATGTTGTATAGTAAAGATGGTTGTATTCCTTAGAATACTTTGTAAAAGAAAAAATGATTCAGCTAGGAAAATTAACAAAAATAATAAAAGAAGGAATTTAATAGTGAAGTGTGGCATGGGCTGTCACACTCTTCATTAGGGGTCTGAGAGTTCATTTTGCACAGAAAATGTTGACTGTCATTGAGCCCTGGGGCTTCCCAAAGAGACAGGATAGGAACAACCATGGCTGAAGAAATTGGGGGCAGAAGAAATTGGCAGTGAATAGCAATGAGAATCTAAAAGATTTCCTTATGGATAATGAAAATAGTTTAGCTGTTTTGTACTGCTGTTTGTACGATTGTATGAATACATGAAATTGTGTACCTTTAATGAGTGAATTATATGATGTGTGAATTGTATCCAATGAAGCTGTGTTTTAAAATTTTCATTCATTCATTCATTCATTCATTCATTTAGTTTTAGATCCTTCTCACTACATAGCACAGGCAGACTTCCAACTTACAGCAATCCTGAGCGGCAGGGTTACAGATGTGCACAACCATGCCCAGCTTAAAGCTGTTTTATGTATAATAAAAGACTGTGATGTCTATGTGCATGGTGGACCACAGGACCAGGGAGAAGAGAGAAAGTCTTTGTCTCTCTGATAGATCCCAGAAATGTTTTCTACAGTAATTTTCAATAACTATTAATTGCTATGCACCATATCTCCTGAGAAACTGCCTCCAACTTGTGATTGAGTTCATTTAGCCATTGCGCCTTTGCTGTGGAGAATAACTACAATATAACACAAATTTGTTTAATCTCCAAGTGACCCAAAGTTTGAAACCAGTGGAACAAAGTGACTGCCTTTCACAGAAGTGGCTGCTTTGACAGGTGGTGCTCAGTTACTCATTTTCAAGAGCAGATAGTTCCATCTACTACCATATGTGAATGTTCTCTCTCAACCAAATTTATTGTTTCATTACAATGATATCATTTGCCATTATTTCAAAGTTATGGATTGATTGCTTGCAAACAGTAGCATTTATTGAGCTCACATAAATAATATTTAGGGATCGTCATTAGTTAAACGTTAACTTCTTTCCTTTCCTTGTGCATGTTTGCTTCAGTGTGCCATGAGATGGTAATCTGCTGTTTATTAAACCACCGCAGATCTAAAGATCCAATGGTGAAAAATGGCTCCATAGAAATTCTCAGTAGTGTGCTTTCACTTGTATGTGACTCCAGCGATTTTGCATGAATAATGAATATGGTGAAATGGTACTTGTTGTTCCACATTTAAATTAAACATAGAATGAAGGTCCACAGTGAAGGGAATACTTCATGGGCATCTGATCATCCGAATTATTGCCTTTTTACAGGGTATGGTTTAAGAAGTAGCGCACAGCTAGCTTACTTATCCTTTTTGTGTGATATGTGTTAGTGTTATGCTCAGTGCCACTCAAGTTATGTGATCAACAGCAACCTAAATGACCTCTCCGAGACAGTTTCCCAAGATGCAAAGTTAGGGAAAAGGCTTTGCAGGAGTTGTTAGAAAGACTGCATTAGACATTGCTCCTAATTCACTGATTATGTATAATAGATTTCACAAATGGGACATTTTTCATTTTCTTTACGTGTTCTTCTAAAACTTTTCTGGGTAAGATCTCTTCTACAATTTAATATCTTTTTGAACATCCACAATTAAATTTTCTTTCCTTAGAGTGTTTAAATCACTTTAGTCCTTGAGGGTAGCATTGAATGTGAAGTGCACACATCAGTCACTCAGTGGCAAAAGTTGAAATGCATCTTCTGAAAAGTGATCTGAACATGTGTTTAGAAATTTTGTCCAATAAGCTTGGTTTTAATCTTTTTTTTGTTCATTAAGTTTATTGGTACATTTTAGGTATACAATATGATGACATTCACAGTGGGAATTTATAACTTTCCATAGTGTACCTTGGTTCTTACTTTTCCCCATTCTCCTGCCCTCCCTTTAACCCCACCACCCTGCCTCATTTAAAAAGACTTTGCTCTGTTTTTTTCTTTTTCTCATATTTATTCCTTTCCCTTCTTTCCTTTCCCCGACGCCTTCCCCTTCCCCTTCCCCTTTGGATCTTTTCTTATTTCACATTATCTCGTATACATTTTGATCCTTATTTACACTCTCAGCTTCTCACATCAGAGAAACTATTCATTATTTACCCACACGTGTCCTATTTATTTTACCTAGGATGATGGCCTCAATGTGCATGAATTTACCTATAAATTTCTCTAATTTCTCATTCTCTCTGGCTGGGTAGTACTCCATTTCATTTTTTAAAAAACACGCATCTTCTCCATCCAGTCTCCAGTTGATGGGCATTTGGGCTATTTCCAAACTTTAGCTATTAAAAACTGTGTGGTTATGAACATGGGTGCACATATATCACTGCAATATGATTCTTTTAATTCTTTTGGGAACACACCCATCAGAGGGATAGCTGGGTCGAATGGGACCTCTAAGCCTAGTTTTTTGAGGTATCTCCGTATTGATTTCCACAGTGGTTTCACCAGTCTGCACTCCCGCTACTAGTGGAGAAGGGTTCCTTTTTGCCACCATCCTATCAGCATCTTTTGTTGGTTGATATGTTGATAAGAGCCAGTTTTCTGGAATGGAGTTGGAATCTCAACATTATTTTCATTGGCATATCTCAAATGACCAGTGATGTTGAATAGTTAGTTTTTCATAGGTTTTTTTCTTCTTCTTTGCCCGTGAAATGTTCATTTCATATGTCCATTTTCGGACTGGGCTTTTAAATTTGGGAAGTCTGATTTTTAAAAATTCTTTATATATCCTAGATAATAGACCTTTGACTGATAAAGCTTGGTTTTAATCTTTATCCTAAATTAGAATATATGGATAAAAATGTAGGCATAAATATATTAGGCATGTCATTATGTATAATATAGATTATAGATACAGCAGGATATCCAAATGTTGGAATGTCAGGCAGCTTTCTGTCACTGTGGCAAAATACTGAGCCAATCGACTTAGAAGGAGGAAAGGCTTCCCTTGCAACATGGTTTCTGACTTTCATTCCATATTTGTTTGTACTGTAACTTTTTTGACAGCCTGGCACCATACCTCAATGCAAAAACACTTGTCATGGGAAGTCTGTTAATTTTATTGCAGGCCAGAAGCCAAGAAAGAAAAAGGGAAGGATTGGCATCTCAATCCCCTCTTCGAGGGCACAGAACAATGAGCTAAACTTCCCACTGGGCTTCTCCTCTTAGACGTTTGCCACCTCCTAATAGCACCACAGGCCGGAGACCAAGCCTGGAATGCATGGGCCTTTGGGGGAGATTCGTGATTCAAACTCTACAGCAGAGTTAAAACCATTTTAGTTTATCACTCAGAAGTTGTATGTTATGGCTTGTATCAAGATGTCCCCCCAAAGCCTCATGAAGTCCTGGGGCTTTTTAGAGGTTGCTGGTTAGGGGTATGGATAACAGAAGCCCACACTGGTTGTAAGTGGCACTAAATAAGAGGAAAGAAAATTCTTGAAATATTCATTTATTTTCTCCTCCAAAATACTCCATCTCCAGGAAGAGACTCACAATCAGTAGAGGTATCCATATCTATAAATCTATGTCTATAGATATATGTGTAACTCTATATACATTTGTCTATGGAGTGGGAGAGAGGGAGAGAAGACAAAGTTTAGGTATTATAAAAATATTATAGGATTTTTATTTGTAATCTTATTTCCAGTGTCTCTAAGGGAAAATTGCTTTGAACTCTATGAAAGTGCCTTAATATTGAGATATTCCTGTTTGATGGTCTGCAGATGGCAGAGAATACTGTGATGTGGGCCTCCCTGAAAACATTTGTGCACATGTGGACTATCCAAAAGCTGTAGCTCACCAGGAATATGCTAGGAAATTTGCTTTAACTGCATAGTGTTGGGAATCTTGCCACAATTATTCAAACAAAAATACATTTCTTCCTGTGAGTTTCAGCTGAACAATAAATATTTCCTCCACTAGATTAACTGTACCAACAAAGAAGGTTACAAGGAGAAAGAAGAAAGGCTCCTGTTGGAATTTTAATATACAATTTTCAAATACAATTGTGTACATATGAAGCAATAAATCTACGAGAGACTTTTTTAAGAATTAGTTTCTGAATTCCAGCTGTAGAGAGTGGACCCTTGACTTACAAATTCAATTCGTTGATGGGGGTTAGTTGTAGCTCAAGTTGGTCGGTTGTAAGTTCAGGCTTCTCTACGCAGCCTTCAGAGTCCTGTACACAGGCAGATCTCAGTGTCCTTAGAGAGACATTGGCTCGGGATTTCTCAATTAAACCCACATAGGAAAGGATGTTGTAATGTTCCTTCCAGAACTCTTTAAGGGTTAAATCTGTATCTGAGACTATCTTTCAGGTTGTAACT